CATAATAGACAATTCTTATTTTTTTCAAGTTCTCTAACATATGTTTGACAACTGGAAAAAAACCCACTATCAGATGGGGTTTTCAGTGTATGTTAGTGTAGTTTATGAGACAATACAATATGAAGGGGGAGGGTAAAGGGATCTATATGATGGTAAGATTCTGTATTTCATTTGAATTGTTAAAATAGTGATTCTCTGTGGTTGCCAGGGGCTGGGGGGAGGAGGAACAGGGAGTTATTAACCAACAGGTATACAGTTTCAGTTATGCAAAATGGGTTAGTTGTAGTGATTTGCTGTACAACATTTTGCCTATGGTTAACAGTACTATGTTGTAGATTTAAAAATCTGTTAAGGACATAGATCTCATGTTAAGTGTTCTTACTACAATAAAACTTGTTTAAAAAGGGAAGAAACAGTAATTCTAAGAAACCTGTGCAAAGTTAAGTAAATTTATTGTAAATCTCTACAGCAACCACTAAAAAAAGATATAATAAAAAACACAATACATTAAAATGAAATACTGAAAAAATACTCAAATAATCCAGAAGAAGGAAAGAAAGAGAAAACACAGGAATGAAAACAGAAGGACAAAGAGAAAACAATAAAATGGGAGTCTTAAATCCAAATGTCAATATTTATATTAAATATAAATGGTCTAAATACAACAATTGAAAGATAGCAGTTGTTAAATTCAATAATTTTTTCCAGAATTTTTAAAAAGATTTTATTTATTTATTTGATAGAGAGCACAAGCAGGGATAGTGGCAGGCAGAGGGAGAGAGAGAAGCAGGCTCCCCACAGAGCAAGGGAAGCCTGATGTGGGACTCAATCCCAGGACCCTGGGATCATGACCTGAGCCACCCAGGCACCCTCAATAATAATTTTTAAAAAGACTCTATTATATCCTGTCTAAAAGAAACCCATTTTAAGTTTAATGCTGTAGGCAGGTTAAAAGGAAAGGATGGAAAAAGATATACCATTCAAATACTAGTAAAATATTTGGAGTAGCTATAGTAACATTAGGCAAAGTACACTTCAGAGCAAGGAAAATTACCAAGGATATTACATAGTAATAAAGAACCAAGAAGACTTAACAATTCTAAATATTTATCTACTTAAGAACAGAGATTTAAAAAAATACACGAGGCAAAAACTGGTAGAACTGAAAGGAGAAATGAGCAAATCCACTTGTAGGTGAAAATTTCAACATTCCTTTCAATAAGTGATAAACAAAATCAACAAAGATGTAAAACAACTGAATAACATCAACTAACTGGATCTAAATGAAATAGAGAATACAACCCCCAAAAGAATAAAATATATATTCTTTTGGAGTGCTTGTAGAACATATACAAAGAATAGAATCAGCAAATGTTTTGTGTAAAAGGCCAGATAGTAAATATTTAGGCACTATGAGCTGTATGGCTTCTGTCACAACTATTCAAATCTGCCACTGCAGTGCAAAAGCAGCGTTAGATAATTCATAAATAAATGAGTTTGGTTATGTTCCAGTAATACTTTTTTTTATGGACATTGAAATATGAATTTCATGTAATTTTCACAGGTCATGCAATGTTCTTTTGATATTTTCATCATTTAAAATGTAAAGATAATTCCTTCATCATTGAGCCATACAAAAGCTGTCAGGGACTGGATTTTGATGTCAAAATAGGCCATAGCTTGCTCTCCCCTGGCCAAAATAAACCATATCCTGGGGCATGAAACAAACCTTAGGAAATTTTTAAAAACTTAAACCATACAAAGTCTTTTCTCTAACAGTAATGGAATTAAATTATAAAACAGTATAAAAAGGTGTCTGGAAAATACACACATGTTTAGAAATTAGACAGCATAATTTTAAATAACCTGTGGATCAGAGAAGATGAAAGAAGTCTCAAGGGAAATTACAACATAGTTTGAATTGAATTAAAATGAAAATACAGGCAAACATATAAATACTTGTGGGATGCAGAAATAGAGGGAAATTTATAGCATTAAATTTACAGCACTAAACCAGAGGGAAATTTAGAGTACCAAATGCTTATATTAGAAAATAAGAAAGATCTTAATAATCTAAGCTTTTATCTGTAGGTTTTCTGTATAGAAAGTTCATTTCTTTCATTATGCTGTTATATGATTTTCTGATTGACTTGATATTCCTTTTATTGTGCCCATGTGCTCTGGGGTGCCTGGGTGGCTCAGTTGTTAAGCGTCTGCCTTCGGCTCGGGTCCTGATCTCAGGGTCCTGGGATCGAGCCCTGCATCGGGCTCCCTGCTCCACGGGAAGGCTGCTTCTCCCTCTCCTACTCCCCCTGCTTGTGTTCCCTCTCTCGCTGTGTCTCTCTCTGTCAAATAAATAAATAAGATCTTTAAAAAAAAAAAAAAAGATATGGATCCCTCTTCTGACTTTATATTTTCTTTAATCCAATATGGCTAAATTATCCTTGACTTCTTTTTTTTTTTTTTTTAAAGATTCAAAAAAAATTTAAGTAATCTCTACACCCAATGTGAGGCTCAAACTTAGAGTCACATGCTCCACTGACTGAGCCAGCCATGCACCCCTTCTTGACTTCTGATCTGTGGCCAGTTTATCTTCTCTGAGCTACAGTTTGGTGGTTGGGTAATGCCTTGTATTTACTTTCTATACTCTTATAGTTGGGAGGGCTACAGGAATAAGGGTAATTCAGCTGGGGTTTGTGTAGCCTTTTCTAAAGGAAATGGGTTGTGCTTTTTCTTTGAAATTTTATTAAGTGTCTGAACCAGGGTTCATTTCTTCTAACAATGGGATATACTTTTCCTGTGGAGGATATCTCAGAGTTCAGATGGTTTCCTCCATTTTGTTGTGTAACCCTCGTGCTTTTTCTTCCACTGGGAAGAAACATTCTACTCCATTTTACTTATGTATTTCTACTTCAAGATTTATAGTTTATAATAGTTCACCTTCCTTTTAGTTTTTGATTTTGCTAAATTCTGATTTACTGTTGTGGACCGTTGGCTATGCTATGTTTTAAACAGTGGGCCTGAAGTTTCCTCATTTCTTCACTAGGATATAGGCGATGTATTTGGAGTTTGTCTACTCTGAAGACCTTTTCAGTCCCTTTTTCCTGAGCTACCTACTCACTTCCTCAATCTGCTTTTTTTCAAAGAGGGCACAATTTGTGAGAACTCTCATGATTTTTCTGACATTTCTTTTTTCAGAGCTTCTTTAGGGTGGAGGTGGGATGAAGATTATAGCCACTGCACACATTTCTTCAGTCAACATTTTTTTGAAGATGTGGCAAATCGTCAGGAAAAATTTTCCTCCACCCTCTTAGGTTCATTCTTGGGGGACCTGCAAATTAAACTACCAAAGACATGTTAGCAAGAGGAAAAGACAAGATTTAATTGTGTATGTTGCATTGGAATTAAATGTGACTGAAGAATTTGGAATTTGGGGCTTATATAGCATCTTAATCGGGGTGGGAGGGTAGAGGGGCATTTTTGGGAGAACAATGACTTCTTAGAGGGGCATGGGGAGAAGGGGCACTTATGAAAAAAACAAATGACTTTTTGGAAAGATAAGTGGGTCCTTAGGAGAAAAGATGATACGTATATAGTTTTGTGACAAAATCTGACTGGGTGTAGTGCTGACTTCTTTTTTAGGAAAGAAATTAGAATTGTTCCCTGGGAGGGGCTTTATGACAATTGAATTCTTTTGGGAGTTCTGCTTTTGGCAGATAAGGGATTTTAGAAAGTCAAATGCCTATAGCTCAAAATAATTTTTATGCCACAGTGGCTTATTTTTGACCCCTTCATATGGTTGTTTCTCCTTTCTTGTTTGTTTTCTCTGCCCTTTAAAATGTTCTTCAGTTGTTTTTGTTAGATTTTGAAAAAGAGAGTTTGTGATTCAGTTTTACTCTCCTCCCCCCCCGTTTTCTGAATCTGTAATATTTTATAGTAAGCAAAATTAATAAAGATATTAACATTTAAGAGAATCCAAAATAGATCAAGAAGCAATTTATGAAAGAATAAATGAAATGCTCATACATGTTTTAAAAATTGTTCAAAATAAAAGCAGTGCAGTGAAATAATTATCAAATTAACAAAGAAAAATGAGAATTTATTGAGTATGCCATAAAAAAATCATATTCGAACCTGTTTCCTGAGAATTTGTGTTAAACTTTGTGAAAAAGAATGTGATATGTTTGAAAAATTTTTTTTAAAGATTTTATTTATTTGAGAGAGACCAGGAGAGCACAGGCAGAGGGAGCTGCAGGCAGAGGGAGAGGGAGAAGCAGGCCCCCCGCTGAGCAGGGAGCCCGATGTAGGGCTCCATCCCAGGACCCTGGGATCATGATCTGAGCTGAAGGCAGTCATTTAACCAACTGAGCCACCTAGGTGCCCTTGTTTAAAAATTCTTAAAAACACTTATTTTCTTTGACATAGCATTCCAACTCTAGGAATTTGATTTAAGGAAATACTGAGAAATAAGTATTTAAAAATAATGTAAATATGTCAATGTAAATATAAACCCTAAAATGAAACTTATCTAAATGCTGATCAACAGCTGAGTGTTAAAGTGTAATTGCAATATACTCAACTAAAAAAAGCAGGACCCTGAACTATATATGTTACGTGATCCCAGTTTTATAATATACAGGCATACCTCAGAGATGTTGCAGGTTCAGTTCTAGACCACTGGAATAAAGTGAATCAAATGAATTTTTTGGTTTCCCAGTGCATATAAAAGTTATGTTTACACTATAGTGTAGTCTGTTAAGTGTACAATAGCATTATGTCTAAAAAATACACATACCTTAATTTAAAAATGCTTTATTGCTAAAAAATGCTGACGATCATCTGAGACTTCACTGAATTGTAATCTTTGGTGGTAGAGAGTCTTGCCTTGATATTGATGTCTGCTGATTGATTAGGGTGGTGGTTGCTGAAGTTTCAGGTGGCTTTGGCAATTTCTTAAAATAAGACAGCAGTGAAGTTTGCCACATCAGTAGACTCTTGCTTTCACGAATGATTTCTCTGTACCGTGGGATGCTGTTTGATAGTATTTTACCAACAGTAGCAGCTTTCAAAATTGGCGTCCATCCTCTCATACCCTTGCCACCACTTCATTAACTAAGTTTCTGTAATGTTCTAAATCCTTCATTGTCATTTCAACATGTCTTCACAGCATCTTCACCAGGAGTAGGTTCCAACTCAAGAAACCACTTTCTTCATCCATAAGAAACTTTCCTAATCCATTTAAGTTTCATCATGAGATTCAGTCACAGAAATTTAGTCCCATCTTCAGGCTCTGCATCTAGTTCTAATTCTCTTGCTATTTTCACCACATCTGCAGTTCCTTCCTCCACTGATGTCTTGATCTCCTCAAAGTCATCCAGGAGTGTTGGAATCAGCTTCTTCCAAACTCCTGTTCATGTTGACCTCTTCCCGTGAATCATGAATGTTCTTAATGGCATCTAGAATGGTGAATGCTTTCCAGAAGGTTTCAACTTGCTTTGCCGGATCTATCAGAGGAATCAGTATCTATGGCAGCTTATGAAATGTATTTCTTCAGTAATAAGACTTGAAAGTTGAAATGACTCATTGATCCTTGGACTGCAGATTGGATGTTGTGCTAGAAGGCATGAAACATAATAAATCTCATTTTGTATCTCCATCAGAACTCAGGTGCATTGGTAATGAGCAGTAATATATTCAGGGGAATCTTTTTTTCTGAGCAGTAATTCTCAACAGTGGGCTTAAAATATCCAGTAAACTATGTTGTAAACAGATGTGCTATCATTCAGGCAGGCTTTGTTGTTCCATTTCTAGAGCAGAAGGCAGAGCAGATTTAGCGTAATTCTAGAGGGCTGTAGGATTTTGGGAATGGTAAGTGGGCATTGGCTTCAACTTCAAGTCACCAGCTGTATTAGCCCCTAAAAAGAGAGCCTGTCCTTTGAAGGCAGGCATTGGCTTTCTTCTAGCTATGAAAGTCCTAGATGGTACCTTCTTCCAGTAGAAGGTTGTTTTGTCTACACTGACAGTTTGTTTTTTAAGTGTAGCCACTTTCATAAATGATCTTACCTAGATCTTCTAGATTAACTCCCTGCAGCTTCTACATCAGCACTTGCTGCTTCACTTCTTTCCTTAAACACATGAGCCAATTTCTAGCTTCAAACTTCTCTTCTGCAGCTTCCTCACCTCTCTGAGCTTTCATAGAATTGAAGAGTTAGGACCTTGATCTGGATTAGATTTTGGCTTAAGGGAATGTTGTGGCTGATTTAATCTTCTATTTAGACCACTAAAACTTTCTCCATATCAGCAATAAACAAGGCTGTTTCTCTTTCTTACCATTCGTGTAATCACAATTGTAGCACTTTTCATTTTCTTCAAGGACTTTTTCTTTGCATTCACAATATGGCTAACTGTTAGGTGCAAGAGGCCTAGATTTTGACCTGTCTCAGCTTTGACATGCCATCTTTACTTTAATCATTTCTAGCTTCTGATTTATAGTGGGAGACCTGCAGCTCCTTGTTTTACTTGAACACTTGGAGGCCATTGTAGCATTACTGATTGGCTTAATTTTAATATTGTTGTATTTCAGGTAATAGGGAAATCTAAGGAGAGGGAGAGAGAGGAATGGCTCATCGGTGGAGCAGTCAGAACTCACAGAACAATTATTATTAAGTTTGTCATCTTATGTAGGTTCAGTTTGTGGTGCCCCAAGGCAATTACAATAGTAACATCAAAGATCACTGATGATAGATCATTATAACAAATATAGTAATAGTGACAAAGTTTGAAATATTGGAAGACTTATCAAAATATGACACAAGAGACATGAAGCAAGCAATGACTACTATTGAAAAAATTTCTTACTCAGTGTAGGGTTGCCACAAAGCTTCAGTTTGCAAAAAACAAAAAACAAAAAACCCCAGAAACATAATTTCTGTGAAACCCAGTAAAGCAAAGTGCAATAAAATGAGGTATGCCTCTATTTACAGAAAAGGAGAGTAAAAAGAAATAGAAGTTTCAAATTTTATTCTTTAAAATTTTTATGTATTTTAAAAAACATTCTATAATATATAATTTAAATTCAGAGAAAAAATAAGGTTAAAACGTATCTAATCTGGGGGCACCTAGCTGGCTCAGTTGGTAGAGCATGTAACTCTTGCTCTCAGGGTGGTGGGTTCAAGCTCCACGTTGGACATAGAGTTTACCTAAAAATAAATAAGCAAAAAAAAAAATTATCTAATATGGGTAAAATAAATATAAAGACACTTGAATGCAAATTTAAGAAGTATTAAATAAGAGGATAAAAATAAGAGTTTAAAGTGGTAAGATAGCAAAAATATTAAGACAATAATATAAACTAAGTATAACCAATTTAGAATAACCAGAAAGTAAAGGATTAAATAACAAAATGATAAAATATATTCAAGTGATACAAAGAATAAAATAGTCTAAGATTAAGAAATTGAAAAAATCACACAAATATGGAGGAGGTAGGTAGAAACTCAAATTAAATCTAGACATTAACATCCTGTAAGATTGTTAACAGGTTCTGGGTTGAGGAAGTTTCACAGCTTGAGTGCTTTACTGCAGATTTTTTTTAAAGTAAGCTTGATGCCCAATGTGGGGCTCAAACTCAAAACCCTGAGATCAAAAGTTGCATGCTCCACTGACTGAGCCAACCAGGTGCCCCTTTACTGCAGATTTTTGAGGGATAAGGGGCAATATCTATTTAATGGTGTCATTTCTCTCATGCTTCTCATATATGCAAAAGCAGTAGTTCTCAGATACTTTAAAGGAAATTTGAGTTTGCTTCATTATTCTGTCTTGTTTTTGGAAGTCCTTAATTATTTTGTAGAACTCTGTGTATGAAATATTTTCTGAATCATTGTCATAATCAAGGAATGTTTATGAAAGCAGAAAGCATTCAAAAAGGTTCAAGTAAAACTCTCTTGGAAAGAGTTGATATCTTAAAGGGCATTTCATTTCATTCAATTGCTGGCAGCCTCTAGGAAACAGCTCTCTGGAACCAGCTGGCTTATTGACATTTCTCTGCATGTTTGTTTCTCTCTTCTTATTCATTATAAACTGACTTTCCTGCTCACATATTTACTTGCATATGGCCTTATCATGACCATTTCAAAATGATAGCCTAAGACCTATAGTCTACATAACTTCTAGCTCTTCATCCCACAATTGAGTGTCCCATCTTATAATTCCAAATTGCCAGGAGATAATAATAAATTGCTTCGATCAGTTGTGTTCTGGAGGTAGGGTTGGGAGTGAAGGGACAGGGTCAAATGGTACAAGAGATCTGTCCCTTCCAGGGTTATGAGCAGGACAGGTTTTCAAAGAAGAAATTAGTCGCATCTCTTGTATATGTCATGAGTAATTTTATTTTTTATATATTATGTTAATAATTACAGAGTAAAGCAAAGGATATTCTTTTAGTCTGACAGTGCCTTTTACTCTTCTTGTGAATTATGTGAACACATCTCCTCTCTTGATAGTGGTAACTTCATTAAGTGACACAAAATGAGAACATGCTGACTTCTAGCTAGTCCCCCCTTCAATAAATTTCTGTATTTAATTCTTTTATATAAAGTGTTATCAAATGAAGACTTTAATTCTACCTCTTAAAAATTAAATGACATTTATTTGACATTTTAAAATAAAGAAGTCATTTATGTTACCTTAGACATTTTTTGACATTTTTAAATAGTCTATTCATGTTATATAGACATTAAAACCTAATATTTTAGGAAAATCTTATTCTGTGTACATTTCTGGCATCACTTCCTGTATAATTTTTAAATTTGAAATCCTCTTAACATGCACAATAAATAGATTATGATATACTGAAGGATTAAGCTTTACTGTCTTGTGTCAGATTAATCCCTCATATATAGATCATCATTTGAACTGACAGAAATATGGCTGCAATTCAGCAAAAAAGCTCAATGGATAAATTGTTTTATGTAGGATGAATTCTACACTTCTTTACTAGTTGTTGTATAATTCTCTAAATTTAAATAAATCTCATAAACATATTTTTCTTAGACTTCCATAGAGATTCATGGAAAAGGTGCCTCTGATGTTTTATGTGGTGAAACAGTGCCATTAAATATTCTATTTGGATTTTCCCACTTTATTGAGGTAACTCACTTGGTAAGGGTATTTTTAAAAATTTTTACATAAAAGTTGATATTATTTTGAACTTCATCTCATTATACAAGTACAAATTTGCTTTTAAACAAAATAGTTAAATCTATAAAAACATTGTCCACTTGTTTTATGTTTTTGAATGAACAGGTAAAAGCTATAAATGCATATAGGTGAATATTAAAATGACCATGAAAAGTAAAGATAGTTGTTATAGTATGAGGAATGTGGTTTGTAATTAATGTACATATATTTAGGAAATATTTAAAGGGAATTTAAATAAAGCATACTTTTTTCCTAACAGGAGATGGTCTGAAAATGATTTGTAACTATCGTTTTATGTAAATAGTTGAGTGATAGAGTAGAAATACTGACTTTAAATAAAATTGCTTTATTTTATTTTTTTTTAAGATTTTATTTGTTAGAACAAGCAGGGGAGGCGGCAGGCAGAGGGAGAAGCAGGCTCCCTGTCGAGCAAGGAGCCAGATGCGGGACTTGACCCCAGCACCCTGGGATCATGACCTGAGCCAAAGGCAGACGCTTAACCGACAGCCACCCAGGTGCCCCTAAATAAAATTATTTTAATACTTAAAAAATAAAAGTTTGGGGGTATCTGGATGGCTCAGTCAGTTAAGCATCTAACTCTTGATCTCAGCTCAGGTCTTGATTTCAGTGTTGTGAGTTCAGGCCCCATGTTGGGCTCCATGCTGGGCATGGAGCCTACTTAAAAATAAATAAATAAAATAACAATAAAAATAAAAATAAAAAATAAAAGTTTTAAGGGCATCTGTCTGGCTCAGTTGGTAGAGCATGTGACTCTTGATCTTGGAGTCATGAGTTCAAGCCCTGCATTGGGTATAGAGCTTACTTACAAGAAAAGTTTTAAGAAACTTACATAACTCATGAAAATATTTGTGTGTAGTTTATGTTAGAATAATTGTGAGAGTGGGGTGCCTGGGTGGCTCAGTTGGTTAAGTGTCCAACTCTTGATTTTTGGCTCAGATCATGGTCTCAGGGTCGTGAGATCAGGCTCTGTATTGGGCGTGGAGCTTGCTTAAGATTCTCTCTCCCCCTCTCTCTCTGCCCCTCTCCCCTCCCTCTCTAAAAAAAAAAATTGTGAGAGAATTAAGGAATGCTGCTTGTTTTCTTTGAGAATGGAAGTAGAATATCAAAGTAGATTTTTAGCAGAGCAAAATTAAATCTGGATTTTTTATTTTTCAGTTTATTTTTATTTTTATTAGTTTTTTAAGTAGCCTACATAGCAAATGTGGGACTTGAACTCACGACCCTTAGAGCAAGAGTTGCGTGCTCTACAGGTTAAGCCAGCCAGGTGCCCCTTTATTTTTAAAATTATTTTATTGTAAGTATATATAGTTCACATACAATGTTACATTAGTTTCAGATGTATAACATAGTGATTTGACAATAATATACATTATGAAATACTCACTATAAGTGTAA